GCCATTTGGCAACAGGCGGTTCCAGCCGGCCGGCGGAGCGGCTGGCTTGGCAGCGGGCGGGCGGTGTGGTCAGCGGCACCACACACGTGCCGCTCACGTGGCAGTCGCCGAGGCCTTGCTTGGTGTCCAGAACTATGGAAACCCCCGTCACAGTCTTCCCCATCAGGCCCGTCACCACACTCTCAATGCTCTGGGATCGTCCCGCTTCATAACAAAATAGTGAAAAGGAAAAGAGCTAAAGAAACGTGAACCCCCTGAGGGCGCCCCACAGAAGGGGGCTTCACACGCGGTTTCTTGGGACGGGCTGCTCCTGCCCCTCGCCCTCTCGCTGGCTGCAGCCTCCTCGCCGGCGTGCTCGTTCCCCAGTTCTTCTGCTGAGGACGCTCCACTCTCCCGGTCAGGCACGAGGACTGGAAGCTCGCTCTGCAGACCGCCCCGGTGGAAACAAGGCTTGTCCCCTCCTCTCCTGAGCCTGGGAGGCCAGGGGTACTGGTGGCATCTCCCGCAGACCACCTAGGGGACACCTGTGTCCACCCCAGCCGTCCTCCCCCGCCCCCCCCCCGACAGCTGTGCCGGGAGGGGGCGCGACACCGGCCCCCGGGGCTGAGTGCAGAGGTCTCGGTGGCGAGCCCCTTCTTCACTCATTAAATAGGTGGAGAGCCCATAGGAAGTCCTTCTTTGCCTGTGGACCTCGGTCTGCAGCATGGACTTGCCCACAGGACACCAGTTGAGGGGACGGCCCAGCCCTGCCACGGCAGCAGCCACCCCAGGCCCGTCCCCCAAGACCTGCTCTAGAACGGACACTCAATTTTCTCGCTCTTGCAAGAACTCAGGGCCATGAATTAAAGTCACCAGTAATTCTTGCTAGGGTAGAAATAAATCGCCTCCCTCGTGCGGGAGGATCAGTGATGAGATGGACAGGTTCCACACAGAGCCGGCCCTGGAACCCGGCGAGCTCACTTCCCCAACACGCCCGGAAATGCGCTAACACGCGTGTGCCAGAACACGCACGCCCCGCTGCTGACCTGCTGAGAAAGAATCCACTTCCCTGCGGCTAATACAAGGCATCTCCTGAAACCTAGTGCGTCGATTCTGTAGCTTGGCAACTGCAAGCTTCTCTCTCTGTCTCTGTCTGTCTCTCTTCTCTCTGTCTCTGTCTCTCCCTCTCCCTCTCCTCACCCCTGCTTCTTCCTTCTCTGATTTGCTGTGACATCAGAACCAGGCACTCCCTGCAGACCGTTTACCTTGGTCCTGTGGTCAGAGTCTTTCAGCCCCCTTGTTCAGAGCTCACTGCTCCAGCAAATTCGCTCACACAACTAAGAGAATGGGGAGCGCGCTGGGTCGGGGGCAGACACTATGCAGGGAGGCTCGCAGGGACGGAGTTGAGGTGACTGCCCAGCTCCTGTCAAGGAACAATAAGTTCCTGCTTACGCTACATTCTGAAACTTCACCGATGATAACCAGGACAAACGGCCGCACGAATATGCGACCCCAAGTGGCCGGGGCGGCTTTGAACTCCGCTGTTCCCCAAGCCACAGCCCCCTACTCTGCAGGGAACTCGGAAGGGCCTGTCCCCGGGCAAACTCACCCCCGCAGGGCAGGAGTGATTTCTGCCTGTAAATCCAATGCGGAAGCTCACACGCATGCTATGGAAGGAAAAGATAGTAAAACTCCACAGATAAAATCAAAGGTGACACGTACCCATTGCACCGCAGACCTCACAAGGCCATTTTCTCGCACTTGCCCCGGACCGGGAAACAGCCCGGCCACCTGCTGCCTCGGCGCCCTTCGTGCCGGGCGCTGCCATGGCACGGATCGCGCTTGGCGCAGTGCGGCGCAGGGCCCCAGAGCGGGCTCTGGGAAAAAGGCTTTCTTCCCTGACTCTTTCCTTCTGTCCTTTTCCCTGTGTGCGTGCCCTGCCCCCACCCCCGCCCCGCTGGCCCGCGCACCACCTGCCTGCGCGGCCGTGGGGGGCACCCTCTAACCCTCACCCCGCTGGCTCGCTCCTCCCCTCCCGGGTCTCACCAGCGCGCAGGAGGAGGTTTGCTGGGGGACGTGGGGCCCGGCGGCCGCCCGCCTCACGCCGCACGCTCTGTGTCCCTGGCAGGTACCTTGGCTAAAGCAGAGCCGGAGCCCTCTGGCCTCGCAGGCCCGCAGCCGGCCCGGGCTGTGCAACCTGTACAAGGTAAGTCGCCGGCGACGCCCCGTCGGGCCACGAGCCACCCCAGCTCACCTGGGCGCCCAGCTCCCTGGGGGCCTCCGGACGCTGGCCCTCCGCTCCGGCAGGCAGGGCCCGAGGCGCTGGGAGGTCCCATAGCATTTGCGAGTGAGGCAGGAAGTGAGCCCGGGAGACGGCGACGAGCCCAGGTGGCCTGGGAGCATCCGCCTCGGAGCCCATGGCGGGGACCCTGGGCTGGGCGCGCTGTCTGGTCAGGAGAACGGGCCACCCCGTGGGGTCTCGGCGTGGTGACGGGTCTGCGCCCTTTGCCAAGGCCAGGCACTGCCCCTGGCGGCACCACAGCCCACAGGCAGAGGCGGACACTGGTCCGGGGGGCTTGGTCTGACCTTGGCCACAAGCACGTCTGCGTCCAAGTCTGCACAGGGGAACGGCGCTCACTAAACGTTAGCCGTCTAAGCTCTGAGACGAGCTTCCCCCGGGAAGTCTGGTCCCTCGGGCCTGTCCTCAGCGAGCCCGGCCGAGCGGCCTGCAGGTGCAGGGCTGGCAGCAGGGGCCTGGCGCCACGGGGAAGGGGAAGGCCCCATGCTGGAACCCCCAGGAGGAGCCCTGCTGCCCGCCGTGCCACGGGCACCGCACACGCCCGTCTACTGGTCACGTTCCAGACCACAGCAGTCCCTTGGCACCTGGCTTGTCACCTGGGAACATGCAAGAGGTTGAACACTGTGCTGCTACCCAGACGTGCTCGGCTGGGCACCCAGGGTGCGGGGAGTGCCACAGGAGTCCTGGTGGAACCTTCCTCCCCAGCAGTGCCCAGGCCAGCGGCCCGCTGAGCCAGAGGGAGGCAGGGGGAGCCTGCAGCCAGCAAGGCCTGGGAGCCCCGGGGGAACAGCGGCTGCGACGTGGCTGGTGGCTGCGTGCCTAGAGTCCGCCAGTGCCCTCGTGTGCTGGCCGTGCCCTCACGGGCAGGTGAGGACCAGGAGGAGTGCAGGGCGTCCTTCTGGTCTCGGGGGTGGCCGGTCCTGGGCAGAGGCTGGAGGGCGGCCAGGCAAGCCCAGGCCTGGGCACCTGAGGGCCAGGGGAGCCCTGCGGCCAGCAGGGAGCTTGTGTTTAGCTTGAACCGTGTCTCGGTGCTCAGTGGCTCCTGGTGCTCAGCTTCCAAGGGTCCCTGTCCCTGCGGGCGGCTCACAGGCCAGGCCGGGCGGCCACCTGGGCTTCCTGGGATTGGGCGGGGCTGCGCCCACCGCTGCTCCCGGGCGGAGCGGCCATACGGGGCGATGCAGCGGTGGCTCCACAGCGGGGTTGCAATTGGAGCGCAGAGGGCGGACCCGGCGCCCGCGTGGAGACCTTCACCCGGGTCGCCCTGGACGCCTCCCCGCCCGGCTCCTCCCCCGTGTGGGGCGAGCTGTTGCCACAGAGCGTGCGTCCCAGAGAGAAAGCCCCGGATGCGGAACAGAGCGGCTGGGAGATCAAGCTCTCCGCCGCGTCCAGACACGGGCAAGGCACTGTCGGCAGAGTATGTGATTTTTCTCTTTCAAAAAATTATTTAGCAGAGGAAAACCAGACCTTCTGTTCTCCGCAGCCTCATCCCAGACAGATTTTTGCACAGACACCCAAAATGTGACCAAAAATAAATAAATACGCTGCAGAAAGCCATCGGTGCGTGGCCGCCTTGGCCTTGCGCCCCGGGTCGTTGAAAGCGAGGGAGTTTAACAGGAGGCTCTTTGCACCTGTCCCGTGTGCGTTCCTGGGGCCCCTCTGGTCTGAGCAGACCTGGCTGTGCTTGCACAAGCTCACGGACAGAGTAGAACAGGGAGAGGGACTGGATGCTTGTGCGTGTATGTGTGTGCGTGTGCGCATGTGTATGTGTGCATGTGTATGTGTGCATGTGTATTTGTGTGTATGTGCATGTGTGCACGCATGTGTGCCTGTGCCTGTGTGTGCATGTGTATATGTGTATGTGTGCACGTGTGTGTATGTGTATATGTGTGCGTGTATGTGCATGTGTGCCTGTGCCTGTGTGTGCATGTTTATGTGCATATGTGTGCACATGTGTGCGTGTATGTGCATGTGTGCGTGCATGTGTGCGTGTGTGTATGTGTGCATGTGTGTGTATACGTGTGTGCATATGTGTGTGTACATGTGTGTGCATGTTTGTATGTGTGTACGTGTGGGTATGTGCGTGTGTGCGTGTGTATGTGCGTACATGTGGGTATGTGCGTGTGTGTGGCATTACACAGACATAAGGTGAAGGGGAAATGAAGGGAACACACGCTGACCCGCAGGCGACGCGGCTACGCAGACGGCGGCGGCCATCAGGGCGGGACAGCGGCAGCCTTGCGGGCGGGCGGGAGGCCGGATGCTGCGTGGCCCAGGACTCACGCCTCGTCCTGGGACTCCATGGCAGGAGAGGGCAGCATGGGTGGAGCCACAGCCCAGGACAGAGCGGAGTCGGGATGAGGACGCTGTCCTGCCTTGCCCCCCACCAGGAGGGTGCGAAGGGCGCCTCGTGGAACAGGCGGGCACGGCCAAGCTGAGGCTGCGGACGACAGAATCTTCCATCCCCTGTCCCGACTCGGGGTTCGCTGCTCCGAGGACGAGAAGGGGCCGGGGCAACGTCGGCCACAGCGAGGAGTCTGAGTCCGAGAGCAGAAACGAGTCGGGAGAGCAAGGCTCTGGGGGAAGGAGGAGCAGCCGCGCGGTGGAGCCACCACCCGGGAGAGCAGAGGGCGCTTCCCTGACTCTGCCCACGCCGCGGGCCCCCGGGCCCCGCACTGGCCTGGCACCCAGGGGCGCCGCAAGGAACCAGGGACCCAGAGAGGGATGAAGGACAGGCAGTGAGTGACACCTCTGCCGCTGGTTTCCACGGAGACGGTCCCTGCTGCCTCCCAAGTCCGCCTGCCCCGAGGCTCCCAACCCGCCCAGCGCTCCCACCTGCCCTCGAGCCACGCCTGGCCATTGTGGGCCCCACAGGTTTGCTGAGAGTCCCCTCCTGCTCCTGCAGCCACCAGCTGTCACCGCCGCACGTCGGGGTGTAGGAGTGAGAACGTGCCGTGTCCCGGAAAAGCCTGGCGGCGAGATCACACGCGCTCCAGGTCAATTTGACCACGTGGGCGGCGTGGCCGCAGCCCCGCGTTGTTTACCTGCCCTGAGCTCCGGCTCCGCGCCTGGGAAACAGCAGCAGGGAGTGGCCGCCCGTCCCGCTGAGGACGCGGGGCCGTTGTGCTAATCTCGTGAGATCCCGGTCCCGTGTGTCACAACAGCCCTGCTCCGTGTCACCGTCCGGGCTGGGAAGGCACACGAGACCCTCGCAGCAGGGGAGGGGCGGCGAGTGCCCTGAAGGACGCCGGTGGCTCCAGTCCCTCTGCCCCGGGCAGCGGTGGCCCTGGGCCAGTCTCGTCTCTGCTTTGGGGCCTCAGTTTCCTCAACTGTGGCACGCAAGCGTCAGGTCGGTGTTTGCAGACATTCCCGTGACGACCGCAGCCCCGCCGGGCTCCTGGTTCCTCCCGCACCTTCGGGGGGTCACACGGCTCTCGAGACACCCAGGAGGCCGGGAGGTGACCCCACGTCCACGCAGCCTGTTCAGTCCCGCTCTGGTCGCCAGGGCGGGGAAGCCTCCGGTCTCCCGGGCGTCGCTTACGCAGGAAGGTCGCGTGTAGACTTTCCTCGGACTTCTTCGGGTTCGGTGAATCGAATTTCCTCATCATTTCCCAAAAGACGCCCCCGCCCAGATGAGGGTGACTCCGATGGCCCACGGTTTGACTGGCCCGGTTGCCGTCTGCAGCATGGTCAGTTCCCTGCAGAACGTGCTGGCGTGAAGGGGGCCTCGGGGGTGCGGGGACCCCGCTCCGTCCGTCCCGCGACCACGGCCTCGACTGCTGGGAAGCCCCTTGGTGCTTCGCTCCCGGGCCTGGGCTGCGTGCACGCCGCGTCCTCTGCACGTGCACAGCCGGACTCCACGGCCACCTGTGTCGGCGTGCGCCTCTGTTTTGAAGTCGGCCTGATGCTGGTGCTAGAAAGAGTCTTCAACGCACACAGACACAGCGAGGTCTTTACAGACAGGAGCTTGGCAGCAGAGAAAAGTCAGAGCGGTTAAGTCCAGCGTCAAACCCAGCCCCCGAGTGGCCAGACAGGGACGCCTGCCGGGCCCCAACCCCCGCCCGGGACAGCCGGCCGGGCGCCACTCTTTGGCCACCAGCCCCACGGTGCTGCGCTGGGGACGCACATCGCTGGGCCTTCCCCACAGGAGACCGCCCAAGTCCCCTTCCCTGAGCTTTCCTGGGAGACGAGTGGGGCGCCCTCCCGACCCACGCGGGCCGCGCCAGCTCCGGACCAGACACAGACCGGCAGGCGGGCAACACACGGCCGAGGTTGGGGCTTCCTCGCCAGGGGGGCCATCGCCCGCCCCTTGGAGCCACCCACTCGCCAGGGCGGGAGGGCCGGCCCACGCTCTTCCCGCCCAGGCCGCTTCCCGGGTCCGGAGGGGACGTCTGGGAAGGGTCGGCGGAGCCTGCAGAAGCCCTGACCCCCGACCTGCCCTGTCTCTCTGTGCCGGCCAGGCCCTCAGGGCGTCCCCCACGGCGTGCTGTGTCCCCGTTCCGGGGGGAGCAGTGCCACAGGAAACGCAGAGAACCTGGCGGCCGACTGTGCCCAGGAAGGCCGCGTCCAGCCCTCCGCCCCAGCTTCGCCATTGGCCGAGGCGGAAACCCTGGGACACAAAAGCCCGGCCGTGGCCACCCCGCCCCAGCAGGCCACCAGAGCGATGCCAGCAAGCCTTACCCCACCCCAGCGGGCCACCAGAGCGATGCCAGCAACCCTCACCCCGCAGCCCGAGGTCCTCGCCGCCCGGCGCCTGGGAAGGAAGGTGCCGTCCTGACAGCGGCCAGCAGCCCGAGCCCCCGTCCACATGACAGGCTCGCCTGTGACTCGCTCCGGTGACGGAAAAAAGCCTATGGGGACGTCGCCTGGCCTTCGACAGGGACGGGAAAAGCCCTGGCCTTCGCTGAGCT